TTAGGTGTGCGCCAATCCGATATTCAGTATCGGTATCACTCCGATACTGGCATTTTCTGCTGGATCGGGGTATAGGTCAGACGAGACCGATCCAAATCCGATATTGTGCATATACTATTTTGTGTTATTGTTAAGCCCCACGAAGGCACACAATCATTATAAAGCACCATAATGTTTCCTTATATATTTCAAGTGTTCTGAGACCGTTCCATAGGTACAGATGAATATTTAAGTCATTAAATTCAAGTGCAAGTAAACTCTTCTCTCCGCTGCGGCTGTCAGTCATCCTCCATTCAGCGTTCAATCTGCGCGTCGCATTCGGTTACGACAGTCAAGACGATGAAAATCTATCCAAGATGATTCACTGTTCCTATTATTATACTTTGATCTGTAGATAAAGATCAGTGGTTTTGCATAAAATTACTTTATCTTGCTGGAGTTTAGTGCTGTTTCTAAAGCATGTTAACATTACTATCTACCGGGTGTCTGTTAGATCAAGGAGTAGAGAGCACTATGTATTGTTCTTCATGGGCACAGTAACTGAAATGTAAAACTGTTAAAAGAAAAGGCTCAATAAACTATCGCACAGATATAATACACTATGCATCAAAATCCTCTTCCCTTTGTGTTTTGAACTTTTCTACGCGGAGCGCTGAGCGCTGTGACTATATGGAGCGCCGCTCCATATAGGCGCCTTTCATCATGTTATAATACTTTTGCTCAATGAAAGATTATTAATAGCCTTTCTTGTCGTCTTATATATCATATGTGTCTGCCTCATTACTGTGCTATACATTTAAAATAAATGTCTTTTAATTTTATAGTATATTAATTAATATATAAATATATTAGGCTACTTGTTTTTCATGAATGTATTTTACAACAATACAAAGAGCAATGTTTAACATTTGACCAGATTTAGCCCTACACTTATTCATTTTTATTTGTTCCCCACTAAATAATGTTTTTTTTTTTTCACTAAATATTTAGATTTTATAAAATTATTGTGCACTTATGATTTTTCTAGAGTAACTTTACTGAATTATTCAATAACCTAGTTTATAGTAGTATTTTTATCATAGATTATGATTATATATTTATTAATTTGTTGTTTTTCTTTACAATGAAGTTGTCTACGTGGTAGATTGTGTTTCACACACAAAAGAGTGATGATCAGGGGTGTATTCCAGAAAGTGGGTTTTGTTGGAAACTCAGAGTTTCCAATCTCAGGGTAAGTCAACTCAGAGTTCAAGTTTTAACTCCGTATCTCTGTATCTATCTACGTACGTATTTATCAGGTAATCGCTGCGTCTAATGTCTGCATTCACCTCTCTTCACTTCGTTCTGGTGTAATCTAGAAATGGTCATGCAAAGAACAATCTTCGATAAGTAAAAATGTCAACTATTCTAAAAAAAAAA